ACCAATTTTGATATATTAAAAAAATTAATAACTTACTCGAGGCTTGAGAGAATAATTCAAAAGAAATTAATGGCCTTGACAGTCACGGATGAATTTTGTTTGTTGTCCAGATTCCCCAAGACTCCTAGCCAAGTATGAATTTTAAGATTTTTCGAAATTGGTCTATTGACCTAGCATGGAAACTTGGTTTTATCTTTTTCATTCTTTATTCCATAGGTTTTATCAGCAACGTTGAATGGATTCCTGAACTGTTCATGTAATCACCTGACCTCCTTTGGAGGTAGTTTCTTTGTAAAACCCAATCCCATCGACTTTGATAAAGTGCTGGTAGAGTTCAAGAGACTTGCAGATACAGGAAATGTCGCGGTTATTGTAACCGTGGCAGTGGTATTCCTGTGCTACGTTTTTGTGATTGTTTTCGTCAGAAAAGCGGATCAGCAAGACACCAGAAATGTAAGTACTTATTAGGTAACTTGAATAATGCAACGACCACTTGGAAAAACATTGCAGTGGTGTGAAGCTGGATCTTCGTGTAAACCAGACCGAGCAATTAAAAATATTAAACCAAAGGCAAGACTTATCAGACAGCTCAATTAGAGAATAGAGCACTCGTTCTCCTAGAGCTCATCAAATCAAAAACAGAGGTATTTTTTTATCACCATGAAGACGATTGAACCCTGTAAAATGAACTGGAAGTATAGTATTATACAAAACTAAGTTTTCCAGTTCTCCTATTTTTTTTTTAGTGAAGTTTTACTTCTATGATAATGTATGACTGTGCGATTATCGAAACATCATGCACTATAATCATCTAATATATAGATTTAGCCAGGGCTAAAAGCGAAGCTCCCGTTAATAAACTCATAATTTAAACCAAACAATAAACTTGTAATCCACAGATCAGGGCACATTCATTTGACTTTTGAGGCAAAGGCTGAGTGATTTTACAGAAAAATCAGAATTTGATCCTCCAAGAGTGAAACAAATTTTACGTCGAGTTATTAAATAGTCTTATTTGTACACCGAAAAATAGCAATCATGTTCGATCACAGTAGATTAGGCCTGGGAAACAAATAGACCTATTCGTGTATTGTATTTGCATTAGCTTTTGCATCATAATGTGGCATTCACCAGTCTCTCCAACATTGCTCCGTTAGAGAGACTATGGATAATTGGACAACCCCTAAATATAGTTTTAAGAAACACATGCGCCACGATAGTCCTTGGCGGCAGCCAATTTACATGTTGCTTCCTCTGTCTAAAAGAGAGGCCAAAATAAAAAATCAGGCCGGATTTTTTGTGTTCGACAAGTTTAGTTTACTAGTAAATCTTGGCGACGAATCTGGTGGCGTGTAAACCAGCCTTTTAAACATACTTTTTCTCATCACGTCTCAGGTAAACAGTACTATAAGGCCCTTTTTTTATCATACAGACCTCGGACAGAATTTGTTCTTTTTTGCCCTATTTAAACCTATAATTCTTCAGTTTTTTTTTAGCAATTTTGCAAGAGAATTTGCACTCATCCAATATCCACGACGATCAAAGCACGTGCCTCCTTTGCACAACAAATTATAGCATTGAATTATAAAGCGTTTTCATGAAGAGAATTCTATAATGCCGGGACTTTTCTGTTAGAAAAATCTGGTCCTATGTGATATGCAGGGTAATAATTATGGGCTTTTAATGAAAACGATAAAAAAAAATTCCCAAAATCACTTTTCGGCCAGCCGGACGCGCGGGTTCTCACTTTTGACAGGCACCAAATTAGCAGTGCGATTAATTTAATAGAGTTACCATTTACGCTTCAACATGATAGAGAAATTTATTCATTCAACTGTGTATGATTTTGTTATGTGTAATCTTTAAAAGCGAGTGATATTTACGCGCGGCGTTTTGAGTATTCCTGCATGCGATGTTTATGTTCGACTGGAAACAACCGGTGCAGCAATGAAAATTGCGAGAGGGACTATTAACAATCAATAAAATAAATTTAATTCGGTGAAACATGTACAGAGACAATAATTTTCATTCACGAAGAGAAGTATTGAGAGTAAAGTGTCTCTGAAAATCATGAGTCAGGTAAGCATAAGCTTATTTATGTTTTAAGCCGGCTTCCCGGTGTTCATTCTTTTTCGAGATGAACTCGAGGCAAGAAAATCGCTCAGAGCTTTCTGTTTACAGCCAAAATCATAACTAAATAATCTTCGGAACCTTTTCTTTGAATATGCGGGTCAAAAAATGTCTAAAGGCTTTTTAAACTTGATACTAATGTAGGTTAGATCATTGCTCGTGTATAAACTTAAGCCGCATAAACCATACGCTCGACTTCAGGAAACCGAAAAAAAAAAAAACACATCAAAGAGAATAATTGCTCAGGCTTACCAGTCGAGATGCTGCTTCTGAAGGTCATCAAGTGTTCCAGAATCGCTTGAAACTTTTCAACCCTCTTACGCCTCAAGCAAGGCCGAGCGAGTAAGCTCATTTTTGAAAACGATGCCATCCGAAATCGGATTTCCAATGACTTTGACAAGCGGTGCATTTGTCAACAAAAAGCGCAATAAACAAACCAGCCACGAATTACAGAACAATCTTGATAGCAGCTGTATTTCATTTTGTACAACAAGTAGAAAAAGACAGTTTAAAACATCACAAGATGACACAAAACTCTGTCAGCTCTAGCTATCAGTAAGCAAGTTTCCAGACGCTGCATAAATTTTCCGCATAAACTCACCTGTCAAATTTTGACTAATCAGAACATAAAAATTGGACGTAGAGCGTGATCGACGCGTGACAGTGAGAAAAGTCAAAAGCGATTGCCTTCCCTGCATGGAAATGTAAAAGCTGGTTGAATTTTCGTGTTCGAGGTTAGTTCGAAATCAACATTTTAAAAGTGCGGCTCCTGAAACACGACTTCTTTCATATGCATTTTAAAAAAATTGAACTTGGGCCTGTGATCATTAGAAAAGTAGCAACTTGTCAGCGGATACCTTCAAAAAATTACTCGAACTCAGAGGATCAATACCTGAGCCCGTGATATGGTCAGGCGATACTGGTCAGCAGAAACACTATTTTGACAGCTGTCAATTAATCAAAACATGGAAGTACAATATCAGGTTGCAGGCTCCCAAACTAGCTAGAAAGTGTGAGATTAAACATTGGTATGCCTGTGTTGCGGACAGACGGAAGGTCGGGTGGTCGGTGTACGGTCACGTGATTGCCGAATTTTCTAGGATGGATAGATTTTCTATAAAGCTATGGGGCTTCGAATTGAGCCCGTGATCAAATAAAATATCAGCGCAAAACTTTAAACACTACGTGACCTCAATGGATAGGAAAATGAGCCCGCGATACACTCAGGTGATGATGGTCAGCGTATACTCTAGTTTGACAGCTGTCAGTTAACCTTCATTAGAATGGCGAATATTCGAATTAACAGACATGTAGTGGAAAATGCCAGATCGTGTACCTGAGCGAACCTGAGCCCACGTTATTCTCGGCTTGCACTGTCACGCAATGAAAAATAAAAATGCAAACCATTCAATACAGAAGGACTAGAATCTGGGAAATGAAAAAAGATAAATATACAAATACCCTTGCCAAGAATCAGGTCTGTGAAATATTTCAAATTCGAGATACTGGGAAAAACGGTTTACCTAAATTTATAAAGCTTTCTATGGAAACGCCATGTTGGTGTCCCTTTCAGGAGCACCAATATGGCCGCCGGATACCAACAGAAACATCTGTTTGCGAGTTTTCCTACTAATGCGTGAATTCTCCGCTTGAGGAACTCATAAACATTACAGTAATATTTATTCTGAGACAAGGAATGTTTAGATTGCAAAATCTCCCAAAATCGGTAATGTTTTTAACCCACATAAGAGCTTTGCCTCCCGTCAGCTAAATGCCGCGTCACGCAAAAGCCTGGAAATTCAAGCGTCCTCTCTCGAAAAACGAAGAACCCTTTCGAACCAAAAATTTGTTTATGTAAAGATGTTTAGGTACTGTAATACCTCGTGAAAGTAGAAACTCAGAAGAATCGATAGTTTCTTAGTTTGATTTTTGGCGACGTCACGTGCAACCCAAGAATTAGTTTTCTGATAGTGGTCTGCACATGTCCCATTTTGACAGCTGTCAATTGACCTTAATTTGGCTTGCTAATGTAACTTTAAACGACAGTCAGCCAACTGACAGCCCTGCCCGGCGTAGTTTCGTTTTTATGTTGAATTGGTAGGTGTGACATATTATGTTAGCTTATATATAGGGGCTAAACGACTGGTCTTTTATTTGAGCCCGCGAGACGGTCATGTGATAATTGTCAGCGGATGTCTGACTTTCCTTTTCTTTTTTGTTCCAGAATGGTTCTCCAGTTGAGCTGCCAACAGGATCAAACAGTATGCACGAATATGAAATAACAATAATAACAGGAGACTGGAGGAACTCCGGAACAACAGCTAAAGTTGCTATAGAGATATATGGCTCCGAAGAAAGCACCGGGAAGGTTCCGCTCAACAACATGGAGGATGCCCCTACGGACACACTTTTTTCTAGAGGGAATACGGACGTTTTTGTTCTTAAAGTTGAAAAACCACTCGGTCATATTGAAGGGGTGAGGTTTGGGCATGATAATTCTGGAAATAGTCCTTCGTGGTTTCTAGAGGAAATCATTGTTCTTGACAAACAAACGCTTTGCTCTTGGACATTCACGAATACTCAGTGGCTAGCTCTTGAAAGAGGAGATGGTAGGATTGAACGGATGTTGGAGACAGAACAAAATAGAATAGATTTCAACAGCGAGGTTTTGAAGCGATGGTGGAAAGGACTCACAGAAAAACACATATGGATCTCAGTTATAGCGAAGCCTAGGAGAAATCGCTTCACACGGGTACAACGGGCGTCATGCTGTCTTTCACTGCTATTGACAGCTATGCTTGCAAACGCCATGTTTTATGAACTGGACGGAAAATCAGAGAATGTGATTCAGATCGGACCTTTGAAATTCACTTGGAGACAAGTAGTTATTGGTATCGAAAGCGCGCTCATTGTTGCCCCTATAAACATTTTGATCGCATTCCTGTTTCAAAAAGGGACCGAAAACACCGAGAGTCTGACCCGTGTTAGCTGGTTTTTTTTCGCCTGGTTTTTATTCGTTTGTTCATGTTCTGTTTCAGCGACGTTTACCATCTTCTACAGCTTGGTCTGGGGAAAGGAAATCAGTGAGCAATGGCTGTCTTCCATGTTTATCTCTTTCACCCAGGATATGGCCATTACTCAGCCAGTCAAACTGTTCTTTACCGCAATAGTACTGTCAGCCATAATTATCAGAGAAAAGAGAAAGAAAGATGGTAAAGAATACGTAAAAGAAGGTAAAACTCGAATTTCAACAAAAGGACATTTATGGAAGATGAAGCTGAAAGAAGTAGAGGAGATGAGAAGGCGTCAGGCGAAAAAACAAAATATATCTCGGTTCTTTGTGGAACTTTTCATCTACCTTATTTTTGTTTTCTTGTTGATGGTGGTTTGTTATGGTAGTAGAAATGAACATCGATACATGATGACAAAATCCATCTCAGAAGGACTGCCAAGATTTGAAACGGTAAGTAAAATTTCCTTAAAAATACTGCTGAAGTCTTTTCTCTTTTTCATGATGTTCTCTATGATTGTTTACACTGAAAACGGGGATCATCGTCCACCAGATCCCTTTAGTTGGGCCTGAGGGATTACTCCCTGGTTACTATTTTAGAGCCAAAAATACATGAAAGGGTAAGATCGGCAGAATTTCAGAACTACCACTGGAACGATGGCTGATTCCCCTAATATGTAGCAGCCTAGTCAAATCGTTTCTGTAGGGATAGCGTAGTGTAGCGTTTTAGTCTGTAAGTGGTAAGCAAAAAGGAAAGGATTTGGGCCTCTGGCGGCTCCGTCAAACACAGTTTAATACACCCCCCCTCCGCCACCTCCTCCTCCTCGTTGGGAAATAAGGGGCCATTTTCCCTTCTTAAGCCCTTGCATAAGAAACAGGAAAAGTAGATTCTTTTGTTTGCGTAGTTGCTTTGGCTTTGTTGATGCCTTTAGAGTGTGTGAGTTCGAGGAAATTACCAATGTGAACCAAAGAAAGACTAATTGATATGCCACTACTTCATCGATTGATTGATTTGTATTTGCCATTTTTCTTTCTCGCAGAATAGACTGAACTCATTTTTAACAAACTAGTGCACGAACCACGACCATTTTTTGTTCATTATTTTCTTTTTGCTGTTTTTGGGATACCAGGTTTTTAACAAGAAACAGTACTGGAGCTGGGTTAAAAATGTTTTTTTACCGGGTGTATTTGCTGGTAGATGGTACAACGGACGTCCCGAGAATCAAACTATGTACATCGGAAATAAACGTTCAGTCTTAGTTGGAATGGCTAAAGGAAGGCAACTTAGAGTTCAACCTGGTGAGTCTGGAAATTATTTTGAAACTTGAGTGAAAAAAGAAAATTTCGCGTCATGTCATTCTTTTCAAAATGCTCTCATAAAGTGCGAATAAGTGGTCATTTCCTCCGCATATGGTAAATACTCAGTGGTTGTATAGACGCAGGCACAGAAGGAGCGGAAACGTGACGTGGGCCATTTTTCCTAATTTTTCGGCATCAACATTTTATGTTCTTGATGGCAGCTTAACTGTGAATCTGACACTGCAAAAACAACAACCGCGCTTGTTTATGTTTGTGCAAAATTATATGTAAAGAAAAATAATAGCTTTCTGATGGCAGAAAAAATCCAAGCGGAGACGGGCCGCATACTTAAGTAAGATAGGAAAAAAATGAAAAACAAATGTATCTCCAGTTCCTTACTCCAATTCTTGTCGAAATTTTCTACAATTATCTGATAGGCTCCTTTTCTCCTTAAACATCTGCAGAGACTTGTGATGTTTTGGATTACATGAAACATATGTTTCCTGTTTGCTACGGCGGGTACTCACGCTTAAACGAAGATAAGACATCCTTCAACAAGCCGGGCTGGAAGCCTGTCGACAACTCCACGAATAAAGATGAACTTTCCCGACTTTGCCCGAAGCCTTGGAGATACCAAGGTGCCGAGGATACGGACACGGTGCCTAAGTGGGGACAGTTCTCGTTTTATCCTGGTGGAGGTTTCGTGGCCGACTTAGCTTATGAAAACGGGACAGGCTTTACCGTTATAGAAACATTACAAAACAATGACTGGTTCGACAGGCGAACCAGAGCCATTATATTGGAATTTTCCTCTTTCAATCCATCTGTTAATTTACTTTGCATCGCGACGTATTTCTATGAGGTAGAGGCTTCCGGATACAGCGCCCCATTCACGAGAACCGAAGTGATTTCACTAAACTCAACTGGGGATGGCTTGCAACAATTTTACCTCATCTGTGTTTTATTCTTTATCATATTTGTCGCGTTTTACCTCGGAAGAGAGTGCTACAGGCTGTACAAAGAACGTTCTCGATACTTTAAATCTTTATGGGGTTGGGTAGAAATACTCCAAGTATTGTTTTCCTTCTTGGCTGTAGTAATATACATCGTGAGATCCAAAAAGACGACCTCTACGATTCAGAAGCTTCAGAAAAACATTTACGCAAACCTCAGTTTTCAAGAAGTCATCCTTTCGCTTGAAATAGAGAACGCTGTTCTGGGGATTTTAACATTTATTGTCACTGCCAAACTTCTGAGACTTATTCGCTTCAATCAACACGTTGTCGTGTTTTCAAAAACACTGAAGACCTCTGGGCGACTGTTGTCATCATTTATCGTTATTATGTTGATCTGCTTTACTGCCTTTCTGCATTTCGGGGTTTTGATCTTCGGGACGGGTTCGAGGCATTACTCGTCGATACTCAGAGCCACGTATTTTCAACTCGAACTGACTCTAGGGCGCGTGAAAGCGAGACCCATCTATGAACTGGCAAATGTCAACGACACTTTTGGAAGACTTTTTGCTGTGTTACTTCTCTTTACCCTGACGATGTTGGCCATGAATTTTTTTATTGCTATTATGAACGATGCTCTTATGAATGCAAAGACCTGCGCGAGTGAAAATGAGCTCTACGACCTTCTGGATGAAAATTGGAGTCAAAAGGAAGGAGAGAATAGACGCATATTTGACGCTATAAGTGAAAGTATAAAACTAACGAAAGGAAATGAAGAAACAGTGAAGATGGCGAAAAAAGAGATTAGGAATTGCTTCGAATATCCCAACAAAAAAAGAGTGGTCAATTTTGATGCAAATAGCAAAGCAATAATAGCATCAAGAGAAGAAAGCGTGGAAAATTCAACAGAGAAGAAGCTTACTGCCAACATGAGGAGAAAATCCTTGTTTGATAAGATCAGTGATTACATTTGGAAAACGTTTACGACTAGCGAAGAACACAAAATAAAGAAAGAACTAAGATCGTCACACAGTCAACAGCATCGCAAAGTACGCTTCTCAGAAGACGTTATCAAATGTCAGTTTCAGAAGCTACAAAAACAGAAAAAGTTCCTTTTTCAGCGCTTAGATAATATAATTCAAGGTTACTCTGAAGAAGACGAAAGTTTCCAGCTGTTATGTTACGAAGTTGGTTATTCCTCCAAAGAATCCACCACAGCCGCTGACCAAGGAACCACGAATGACTCATTTGCATGACAGTATAATAAAATAAAGGAAGGAATGCTTAGAAAAGTTAGCACACGTTTTATATATCATAGTGAAAGGACCCAACAGATTTACAGTTTTGTCCCGGGCCCTTCAAGTTTACTTCAATTCTGGCCAAAACGTTTTGGACACTTCTTTCCTGGGTCAAGATTGGGTGTCAGTCGTCAAACTCTTTCAGTTAAAATCTTGTTCAGGTTATGGAATTCAAGTATGGAGTGGAGTATGGAGTGAGCTATGGTCCTGGATTATCGCTTTCCTGGAAGATCGCAAACAAAGCGTCAAGCTTGTAAGTCTGAGTGGGGAGATTACGCGGCAGTGGTCCCACAGGGGATAGAGCATGGAACTTGGTTGTTCAATTTAAAACCATTAACTCAACATGCATCTGTCTGGGCATAGATAATTGTAGACACACATTTCCACAAATTATATTTTTTTCGTTCAGATTCTGGATCTCATTAAAGCGCTCTCCCAAAGAGACTACCAATATAACTTCGGGTTGCTAGGTAGAGCTTTGGTCGTACTGAGGACCACTTCGAAAGACGAATGACAAATGTCAGAGCGACGTACGACGGAAGTACCGGTGCAACATGAACCCATATTGAAAACCTCGAAGAAATTGAAGTTAAGTCGTCTGCATATTGCTGTTGTTTAGCCATATGTGTTCGCTTTCTTTTAGAATTAAGAAACAAAAAAAAATTTAAAAGTTAAAAAAACAAGACAAAAAAAAACAGTGTATTAGAATCAGGAATAGTCAACGGGTTAACCATGAGCTTGGGAAGGCGTTAGTCAAAGGTACCGGTTTTTTCCTCCTCAAATCAAAATTATAGTCCAAAATAAGAACAAATGAGATCGTGTCGATAATAGGGAAAAGCATCAAAGGAACTCTGATTTACACCTTTGACCACCCATGCCACATGTGCATTAGCCACTATGCGTATCCACTTATCTTATCAATTTAAGTTTTTTGCTTGAGTATAATCGCTTACGTATTTAACCGATCATTGTATTTCTACCGAGAAAGGACTGACAAGGGAGCTGTTATCTAGTTTGAAACTCCCAAATCCCAATATTAAATTTGGTATATTATAAAGTGGTTTGAACACTAACACAATTTGGTTGTTTAGTTTAACGAAACTACCTCCTTTTCGGTTCTCAACTCGGTACCTTATGTAAAGGCAATATTTAATCCAGGTGATGGGAAATATCTATATTCCTGTAATGTGACGTATATATATATTCTACTAGGCCGTTTTCAAAGCCATTTTTAAGAGAACGTATTAGAACAATTATCTATTGGAAAACACGAGTTAAATTCGAAACAAGGCAGCTGGTCACACCTTTGA